CAATCCCTTCTCCTCCATTCTCCTCTCGGGATCTTGGGCATGCATGCACATATGCCTGGCGTGAGTTTAAGCCATCGGTTCCAGGACTCGAACCACAGTCGATTACGTGGGAGTCCAGCGACATAGCCAACTGCTGGTCTCATGATTTGATTTTTCTAAAAAACTCCTAGTTGCTGAGGATTTATACCATGTTGTTAGGCTTTGCAACTGATAGCTAATAGACACTTCGTGGCATTCTCTAGGTGAGGAAATTGAGGCTCAGAGAAGGGAAGTCATTCGCCAAGAGTCACACAGTGAGTCAATTACAAACGGTCGGATGGGAAGTTGGGTCCTCCCCAACATCCTTCTTATTCCCAATCCTCACCTTGGATTAAAAAAAAAAAAAAAAAAAAAAAAAAAAAACCACCATTATTATGCAATTATAGAGGTAGGAACTGAACCGGGCACTTTGAGCTGCTTTATTTATTTTTTTAAAGAGATTTAAGTTATAAGGTGTGTGCGCTTGCCAGAGAGACAGAAAGTGAGAAATCACCCTTTGGGAGGATGGCCATGCTGCAGTCTCCTCTCTTCCATTCTCCTCTCGGGATTTTGGGCACAGATACACAGGCGCCTGATCTGAGTTTCTTTTTTTCTTTCTTCTTTTTTTTTTTTTTTACAATTTATATATACACTCATTAATATATTTCCTGAAATGACTTGGAATCATTCTTTTCTTATTATTTCACTTTTTCGTTCATTCATCCTACTAAATTAATATTCTTATGTATGCAATATGGTTGCCTGGTGTGAGTTCTAAGCTGCCAGGTCCGGGACTTAAACTGCGGTCGACCATGTGGAAGTCCAGTGACATAACTGTTACGCCATCTGATGGTCCCATTTGGGTTGCTTTCTTTTCTTTTTTTTTTTTTTTTTAAATAATTATTTATCTTTATTTATTTATTTAATTTTACCAGAGAGGGAGAGAGGGGGAGAGAGAGAGAGAGAGAGAGCAAGCAAGCAAGCTGCCAGGTCTGGGACTTGAACTGTGGTCAGCCATGTGGGAGTCCAGCACCCTTAGCCACCACGCCACCTGCGGACCCCCATTTGAGTTGTTTTTAAAGGAGGAGGAGAGTGGTTCAGGAAGGGCTATTATGATTTGTAATGTTGAAAGATTGGCAGAGTAGGAAGGCATACTCAGAATCACCACCCTGTATCGACCAGAGAGGCCAGAGGCCAGAATTCTAGAACTGACCAATTACTAACTCCCAAACCAAGAGTATCTGGAGGGCAGGAATTTAGTGTCCTTTTAGGCAATAGTTACTGAGTGACTACTATGTGCTCCTTTAGTATCCATTCAGGTATTTGTTCAACAAGAATTTATTGAGCACCTACTATGTGCCAAGGTCTGTGGAAGTTGCTAGGGATACAACAGTGAACAAGACAGACATAATAATCTCCTTTCCCCATAGAGCTCACATTCTAGTGGAGGAAGAGGGGCAAGAAATAAGTATGTATGTACAATAAGATCATTTCAGATTGTCCTAAGTATAAGGATGAAAGCATGCTGGCAGCTGTGATGGAGACTCACAAGTGGCCCTCCCTAAAGTGGTTACAGAAGGTCTTTTAGAGGAGGGAGGAAGTGATATTTGAGCTGAGACCTGAAAGATGAGGAGCAAGCCAGGTGGAGGTCTTGGGGAAGAGCTACCAGGCAGAGGAAAAAGCAAATGCAAGGGTCCTGAGGTGGGAGGACTTGTGGTGTGTTTTAGAACCCGAAAGAAGGCGCTACAGTGAAGCAAGTGAGTACCCTGCTCCCTACAGTATCTATCAAGGAGAATTTGGAAAGCCAGAAGTGACATGCAGAGCAGTGCATTAAGGGCTTGTTGTCAGCTAGTTATCTCCCCACACCCAAGGAGCCCCATGAAATCTCCCAGAGGTTCCATGATTACCTCAAGGTCATGGCTACAGCAAGGGGCACATCCTGCTCAGGCTCTATGCTTCACTACTGCTACCTGGTACTGGGTCACAGTCCTAAAGACCCGGGGAGCATGGGATGTGAGCCCTGGGAATTTCCAGAAGCTCAACAACTCCTTCGGTTTCAGTGGACCAAGGCAGATATGCACTGCTCTTCTTCCATGGCTCCTGGGTTCAGTCCCTGCTGGGTTCCTCAGACACTCATATCAGTGCAATGCAAAGGGCTCTTCAGGCAGTAGTCTGTGGTTCCAGCCTGACCTAGAGCTGCTCCACCTCTGTCAATCCAAGAAGCCATCCTGATTTCTCCTCACAAACATTCTGATGGCTCTGTAGCTCTCCAGCTCTGTTACAACTGGCTTCTGTTCATGCTGCTCTTTCTGTCTCCCTACCTACTACCCAGCCCTCTCCTTCAGCTTGATCCCCAAGACCCTCTTCCACCTTTCTCTCTTGTCAGAACCTTCTACTCCCTCCTTCCTTTGTCCTCCCGCCACACACACCTGGCAAAACCCCAACTTTGGATCAATCCACCATCCCTCTTTTTTTTTTTTTTCCAGTCATACTCCAGGGCTGCTGAATAATACAGGAGAAAATCACATAAACAGAAGGCTTGGCATTACTGTGAGGTCTCCAGCCCCAGTTTGGAGAAGTAGAAAACCCACAGACTTTGAACTCAAATAGATCAGGTTTTGAATTCTGCCTCCACACTGGCTGTGTGACCTTGGGCAAGTTTCTTAACTTCTCTGAGCCTCGATTTCCTCCTCTACAAAATGGGGCTAAAGACTTCTTTCACAGAGGGCTCCTGACGCTGAAATTAGACTTCATGTAAAGCACCCAGTCCAGTGCCTAGCACAATATAGGCACCTGGCAAATGGGAGACTCATTTTCTCCTGTTCCCCCAACTGCACCCAGTTCCCTCAACCAAATCCCCGTTGCTGCCCTGCGATCCTGCCCTTTTTACTTGGAGTGCTCCCTCTGCCAGACATAAGAGTGGGTGGGAAGGGTTGAGGGGCCCAAGGGACAGAGAGAAGAGACTGGGGCCACAGCTTGAAAGGACAGGACAGAAGGTTGAGGGAGAGGGAACGGGGGAGGGGGGGGTGATGTTGGGACCTGAGGGGACCTGAAAGGCCAGAGGTGAGTGGGCTAGCCCGGAGGTAGGGCTTAGAGGGCCTGAGAACAAGAACACGCTCCCAATCTGGGCCCGTGACCCGGGCTCCCACGGTCTCGATCACTCACCAGGCCGAGGCTGTGAGCCCTCCAGGTGGTAGGAGAAGCGCAAGGTCCGGTGGTGCTGTGGACTGGGGCCGCAGGGCAAGACCCGGGGGCCCAAAGCAGCGCCCAGGCTGGTTTCAGAGGGTCCAACAAACTGGGGATCCAGGGGGCCGCTGAGCACTAAGCCTGAGCCTCTGCGCGCTGGCAGTCCAGGATCGGAGGCTCCAGGGTCCGAGTCAGCACAGGCCAGTGGAGCGGCGCCAGGGGGGGTCGCTGCTGGGGGATGGGATGTGAGCCCTGGGAATTTCCAGAAGCTCAACAACTCCTTCGGTTTCAGTGGACCAAGGCAGATATGCACTGCTCTTCTTCCATGGCTCCTGGGTTCAGTCCCTGCTGGGTTCCTCAGACACTCATATCAGTGCAATGCAAAGGGCTCTTCAGGCAGTAGTCTGTGGTTCCAGCCTGACCTAGAGCTGCTCCACCTCTGTCAATCCAAGAAGCCATCCTGATTTCTCCTCACAAACATTCTGATGGCTCTGTAGCTCTCCAGCTCTGTTACAACTGGCTTCTGTTCATGCTGCTCTTTCTGTCTCCCTACCTACTACCCAGCCCTCTCCTTCAGCTTGATCCCCAAGACCCTCTTCCACCTTTCTCTCTTGTCAGAACCTTCTACTCCCTCCTTCCTTTGTCCTCCCGCCACACACACCTGGCAAAACCCCAACTTTGGATCAATCCACCATCCCTCTTTTTTTTTTTTTTCCAGTCATACTCCAGGGCTGCTGAATAATACAGGAGAAAATCACATAAACAGAAGGCTTGGCATTACTTTCAGGTCTCCAGCCCCAGTTTGGAGAAGTAGAAAACCCACAGACTTTGAACTCAAATAGATCAGGTTTTGAATTCTGGCTCCACACTGGCTGTGTGACCTTGGGCAAGTTTCTTAACTTCTCTGAGCCTCGATTTCCTCCTCTACAAAATGGGGCTAAAGACTTCTTTCACAGAGGGCTCCTGACGCTGAAATTAGACTTCATGTAAAGCACCCAGTCCAGTGCCTAGCACAATATAGGCACCTGGCAAATGGGAGACTCATTTTCTCCTGTTCCCCCAACTGCACCCAGTTCCCTCAACCAAATCCCCGTTGCTGCCCTGCGATCCTGCCCTTTTTACTTGGAGTGCTCCCTCTGCCAGACATAAGAGTGGGTGGGAAGGGTTGAGGGGCCCAAGGGACAGAGAGAAGAGACTGGGGCCACAGCTTGAAAGGACAGGACAGAAGGTTGAGGGAGAGGGAACGGGGGAGGGGGGGGTGATGTTGGGACCTGAGGGGACCTGAAAGGCCAGAGGTGAGTGGGCTAGCCCGGAGGTAGGGCTTAGAGGGCCTGAGAACAAGAACACGCTCCCAATCTGGGCCCGTGACCCGGGCTCCCACGGTCTCGATCACTCACCAGGCCGAGGCTGTGAGCCCTCCAGGTGGTAGGAGAAGCGCAAGGTCCGGTGGTGCTGTGGACTGGGGCCGCAGGGCAAGACCCGGGGGCCCAAAGCAGCGCCCAGGCTGGTTTCAGAGGGTCCAACAGACTGGGGATCCAGGGGGCCGCTGAGCACTAAGCCTGAGCCTCTGCGCGCTGGCAGTCCCGGATCGGAGGCCCCAGGGGCCGAGGCAGCACAGGGC